TGTCAAAAACCTTTCTATCAATCAACTAATTACTAACCAATTTTACTAATAAGTTTCCTATACCAATGCGTACTATTTTTGACCTATAAATCTTGATAATTATTTACATCAGGAAATTTTTTAATGGGATGGATATCGATTAATACCTTATGATGGCAATCGATAAGCGTCACCACTGCGAGTTATTATCGATATGGATATAGATGTGTGTCTAAATTATTTTTGGCTTGCTGTAAATAAAAATTGCTGAAAATATTTTCTAATGCCGAAAATATTTTTTGACGTATTATTATACATGTGTGCCTAAAATATTTAGGGCATGTCGAAAATAAAAATTGCTACCAAATTTTCAAATATGAAATATTTAAAATTATAAAATATTTTAAAACGATGAAGCGTTTTAAAATAGTCAACTAGTAGTAGACAATGTGTAGTAATATATGTCAAGAGTCTATTGTATAATTAACGAATAATATACGTGTGCGGACAGACAAAAATTTTCTAAATTGCTGTTTTAATACAATTTTTATAAGATTTATATGCAAATGTATCCAAAAAAATCACCTTACGTAGAGATTGAAGCTCCGGACATTTATATGGTCTATGAGAATATATATATATATCTATAAAGGCTGTTTGAAGGATTTAAATGTTCGTCATTGTAATTTTTGACCAACCAAAATTCAAGATCAGTTGTAACGTGGAAGTTAAAACATACACATTCTGTTTTTCAAAGTAAAAAGTTGCGTGTAAAATTAAGCCAGCAAACCCACATTATGTTAGAGATCAATGCAGCCCTATTAGTAATTTCACAAGAAACACTTTTAATTAGGCCACAGAAAGTGGCACCCCTAATTAACATTCATAACTACTTTTTTTTTGTAAAAAAAGTATCTTTGAAATTCGAGTGGTTAAATTACAGGGCGGAACAATGACACAATCAAACAAAAACTTGATTATCAAATACTTGTACATAGAGATGTGCCATTTATATGATATTCGAATTTTTTTTCGCGTACAGTACGTACAGTACGTATAGTACTGTACACGGCACATCTCTACTCGTACATCAAACGACCATAGACCAAGTTAACTATATAATACGCACATTAATATGTAAGTATGTATAATTTGTTTGATCTATGAGCATTTGATTTCCGAGTATTTGAGTGTCAAGTTTTGTTTGATTGTGCTGAGCACTAGCTAGATCTGTAGTTGTAATAAATTGTGAGTTTATTTTTTCGGCAACCGAAATAATTACGGTAGCCAAAAATAATTTCGGCAGCCGTAATTATTTTCGGCATTTAGGCATTTTGAAGAGGCTGCCGAAAAAATAAAAAATGCCGTAAATCGTCCCGAATTTAGGCACATGTATACGGATTAATACATAGCTATTACAGTTACAAGTCATTCTTGTACCTGGTAAGTTACCGATAGGTTTAAACTCAACATAATTTTATAATTCCCTATGATTTAACTGATTCAAAAGTTAAAGAACTTGAAATCATCTGAACAAGCAAAATGCTTTTTCAAGAAAGCCTTAGAAATTGAAACTTTGGCTACATGAAAATTTAGTCTATTAATTTAGATTAATTTAGATTAAAACCCCCGACCACCGATCGAAATTTCGAATGACGTGTAATGCAAAATGAAAATAACCTTTGCAGCCTTATATTAGTTGGGCTCAAGCGAAGGCTTACATTTAGAGAGGTTTTTCATAAGACGTGCATTTGGGAAAGTTGAGAGGTCTGACTATATCCATAAATGAGATCAAACTACACATAAATACTCGACTATATATATGTCGTGCATCAGATTAAAATTTGCGTCAGATCAAAATTTAAATGCGGAGTTTTGTTAGGGTTAGGATGAGTGCCTATGTTAGGTATTAGCGGAATTATAATGATTCTAATCTGACGCAGATTCTAATTTGACGCGCAACATATGTACATTAATAAATCCACTATAATGTGATAATGGATTTTTATTATAGCAGACAGATTTTTTCAGCCTGACAGGTCCGTTATAACGAGGGTAGAGTGTTGACTATCTATCTATATATTAAAAAAATTAGATTTTTGCACAGAAACGGGCATTGCATATTCGTGTAACATTTGCGCGCGTAATGATTGAATTTTCGTGGTCAATGTGTTCCGTGCCGAAATGATATTAAATATGGTATGAGTGAGCAGACCATTATGATACAGACTAAAATTAAAAACCATACTATACTTATCAGCGGTAATTCCTAATTCTAACAATAATATACATACCGAATCAGTATCGTACGGATACTGATCAGCTCCTAATCTGCAAAATACCTTGCCGAAATTCATCCGAATCTTGCAAAGACTAATTTTACTTCTGTCAGCAAAGTCGGTGTTTCAGTTGCTTTCATATTTTCCATTAACCGAATCGATAAGTTATCGAGTCAAAATCAATAAGTTATTGACTTTGGCTGATGTCAAAAACTTATTATTTCGGTTATTTTTCAAGTGTCTCAGAATTTATAGAAACAGTCGTAATTAAGATCTAACAATTTCATATGTATAAACATGTGTTATGCGTTATTAATCGGCATTTGTCATTTTTCAATTTCCACCGATTGAAAATGACTCGGGTCAGTTCTTAATGATGATAAGATTTGCATACAATAATAAAACTGATTAATCGCATATTAAATGAATACGTATTTATAATGACATAATACAAATAGTTCTTTTACTGTCATTTACATTTTTTTCTTCGTAGTACTTATGGATTTACAAGTTACAATTTTCTATCACCAATGAGAAATAAGCAGGGTTTGAAGAACAGAGATGTCTATAATAAGCATCTAATTATATCAAAAAAATCTGGACCTTTACTGCAGATGAACTACTACATGTTATGTTTGTAATACTAAAAACTCTTAGTTCATAATATTTACGTAAAACACTTTTAACCTAAAATATTCATATAAAATATTCAAAAACGTCCAACTATAATAGAATGGTAATTTCTTTTAAGAAAATTGCTACAAATTATAATTAAGCCACTATCGAAAAATTTGCCATACTCGAGATGACATGGATGCGTTCTATTTGTTAAAACAATTATATTTAAAATATTTTGCATCTATATTATAAAAATTTAGATGTTCAATCCGTCTTGCACCACGTGATTATTGTATCACACTACCCGTTGTTCTCGAAACATCTAGATATATATATAAAATTTTGATTATACTTCGTTGAACACACACATGCGAATCGTATGTTTAATCAAATCGTTATAATTACTTTTTTAAAATTATATTGACTATAAAGTTGCCTATGCCGTTTTCTAATTTAAAAACGAAATATGGTTGAAAAATGATGCGAAACATGCATAGATTTGAATATACACATAAGTTAAAATGCGTCGTAATAATTTCTTTATTAATCGTAAATTTATACAAATATCTGTTCAAATTGAAAAATGGAATGCGTCAATTAATAATTGACATGAATTGAGAAATAATGCATAACATATATAGCCCGATTGTCTCATTATATAATGGTCTTTGCGACATTCGTTTGTAGTGTTTATTTTATACCATTTAGCCCGTCATATGATGACGGGCTCTAATGCTAGCCTTATTTATAAAAAATTTTACATATATAAAAAAAATCTCCGGGCGGCCAGGTCCAAAAATTTTTCAAATGTTATGTAAACCAGTTGATTTATTTGTATCACCTTAGTATATCAAGTTACTTTAATTAATTTACAGTAAGGTATTCTTATTAGCAAAAATAATTTATATGGCTTAAAAGTACCCTGGCCTGCACTATACCGATCTTAGCCTGCATTATAATTATTTTAGCCAACATTATATACAAAAAGTGTGCTATTTTCCACTAGAATAGAATCGCCGTCCAAAAACATTTCAAATCTATTTGAAATAAACTTTGTGCTGTTGGATTATGGTTAGGGCTTGCCACTAAGTTAGGATTCGAAGATATTTAATATACCAAATTTTGAAGGATAATTTTTTACTAATGCGCAAAAGGCTCTTTCATAGACTAAATTTCGAGTAGTTTGAAATTTTCTGGTCGTGCTACGTTACACCTGATCTTGAAATTTTATTGGCTATGAAATTTTTTAGGATGGTGATTTTACCCGTAAGTAAAATCCACATGTTATTTTAACTTAGTATAACACAATTACAAAATTATTGAACCTAAACATGTTAAAAAATTCGAAAAACTTAGATTTCAGGTTTAGGTTTAGTCGAACCTGGACGCAAATCCAGGAACACTACATATATTGTTCTAGTTTAATATCGAAACCTGTTAAATAATTATAATAGAATAAATCAGGTTGGCTATTGCTGTTAAGAAATTTGTATTAAAAACTGTTAAGTATAAAGCATTCTATTTTTATATAATAAATCAGAATGTTTACTCCTTATTTTTTTTCAGTTAAATTTTATGCCAGTTAATGATAGATGCAGATTGCATTCTTTTTACTTCATATACGGTATTTCTACGTTTTTGAAATTAATATATTACGTAGTATAAGTTCGGTAGTATTAAAAATTTTGTTTTTGCACCGTAGTTTAGATAATTGTTTAATTACGGGACTTTAATTCTTGAAACTAGATTTTTTAACAAAATCTTGATTAAAGATATCTCGACAACTACTTGATCAAATTAAAGATCTATAGAGTTTAAATAAAAAATTTTTGCTTAATTTGAACATGTCGTTATTAAGATATCTTCATAACTTAATATTAAAGATTAAAGTTCCCCGTATTTTGAAAAGCAAAGTATCTGCGCCATTGGAAATATTTTTTAAGAATCTTTATTAACCAAATTTATTTTGAAATAAAGAAGTATTATATATATAGCTTATAAATCCCATCATTACTTAAGCTTTTTCAAGGACTGAAATCAACTTAAGTTGATTCCTATAAATATTTCTTATGCAAAATTGATACATATAGAACCTTGAGAATATCAGATTTCAAATTTAAGCTGTCAGGATGAATCATCTTGAATAGTATTTATACTCAACTTTGACAAGTTAGCTAATAATCCATATTTGGCAGGTTTTATACCATCATTCCCAGGGTATATTCGATCAAGAATTTTACAAACTTGTTCATCAAAAGGCCTAAAACATCTTCTTTCATTATCCTCAGTAATTCCTATTCCAATAACCGCAATGACATCAAACAATTTACCATCTTCAGCTCTATAAAAGCCATTACATTCCTCAATAAATTTTTGCTTATAACGGCCAGCTTGGTGAATGACGTAACTTATCTTGTATTTTCTATCACCTTTCATGATATTCCGAACTCTTTTTGTTTCTACGATAGCAAATATGCCTTTACCATTTGTAAGAATCATGTCATTCTTTCCATCTGAGTCAGCAGGAATCCATTCATATTTAAAAAGGTAATGAAACCCAGGAAAAATTGAATTAGAATTACCAAGTTTATCAATCAATTTTTTCTGCATTTTCTGTTCCCTACTAAAGAAGGATTTTGATGAACGAAATTTTTCTCTCTCAGACTTATCTAAGGAATCAATATTTTGATCGATTTCAAAATTTCTATCAATATATTCAATTGCCTGATCAATTATTTCGGGTTCATCATCTTTAAACCAATACCATACGACAGGACTTGAGGTACATGATGAAATTTTGATAAGTCTTTTTTCATTTTTGTTAATGATTTTTATAAAATCGTCTGGTGGATTATCATCATCAATTGGAAATTCAATTGCTGTTTCGTTATTATGAAAGGCATAGAAAAGAATTTTGAACCATTTTTTGTATGGTTGTCCATTTTCATTATTCATTTTTATGAAAAGGCAGTTTAAAAGTTGAACGCCAATTCTCTTTTGAATAGTTTATGGACGATGCACAAATCAAAGATCGTTATTTTAAATTTGATGCCGATTTACAAAATACAAATTAAGATTCTATGGAATTCCGAATACAAGTTCTACTTATACTAAATTGGAAGTCTATTTGCGAAATACCAATTAAGGTTCTGTGGATGTCATACACAGAATTATGAAAACCTGCTGTTACAGGTAAATTTAGGCTAGGCTTAGATATCAATAAGTAACTTCTGCAGGTGCTTTATATACGATGCGCTTCCATAAAGGAAGATAAGAAGGGTCGCTACTACACTAAAACCTAACACAAATACTACTAAATTTAATAATATCTTTCCTCTACACCCTAATTGGTAGGCTTCGAACGAGGCGTGGATTGATTTGGTCCGAGAATATGGTGTTTTACGATACTGCGGTGATCACGGGGACAAAATAATACGAAATACGAAATACGATAACGACGTTACAACTAAAGAACACTCAAAGGGGACTACTACTACCCGGGCGCTATCTTTATTTTGGACAAAATACTGAGACTTTATATACATTTTCGTTAGTACAGAACTTTTGCTAACGCTTCTACCATTTCTACCCTATGTTCATTACTGCCATAGCTGCCATGGTTTTTGCCCGATTTGGTTAAATCGACTCGAACCACTTCGACGTCGATTCTGTACGACTTTTCCCTCTCACAACGTACATACGTGAAAAAATATTGCACTTTTTTATAGATTACACTGAAATTTCTAGTCTATTGTTTTTTGTCACACTCATAATTCATTTATTTAAAATTTTTTGCCACTCAGCTCATATATTTTTGGGGAGCATAACGCCTTTTACAGGAATTGGAATTTCACAAGAAGCCTTAAAGAACAATGACATTCTTGGTTTTCATGCGGTAATAAATCATGTATATACATACATTAATTGCATATAAATCAATGGGGTTCAAAGCAAAAAATTGCGCATTTTACAAAATAAATAGGAGTTATCAAATAGTAGTTCTACTATATTAAATTATAAATAATATTTTCTGATTTTAATTTGAATTCCAAATATTCCAAATACCGTACAACGTTGCACACAATATCCCTTGTCTTTTTCAAAAATGCAAGATAAATTAAATAATACCCCCGGGGTACTATGAAAGGGGTACTATACGAGAGGGTACTATGAAGTAGAGATGAGCAAGGTAATTAAGTAAGTTATTAGTTGTAAGTATATATTATTAGTAGATTGTCGGATAGTGCGGTTTAACCTTTTACGTAAGGCCATTTGAAGTTGATTCTTCGGTTAACGTCAACTTTTGAGCTCGGACAGGGGGGGGGGGGGGGGGAACAAATTA